ATATATATATATATATATATATATATATATATTATTGTACTGATGAGATGCGCTGATGATGTTTAGCATGCTGAGTACACTGTATGATCTCTTATCTCTTTCTCTTCTACAAATCTTCTAAACTAAAGTTGAATGATTCACTGTATTAAACCATACACTGATAACAACTTGAAACTCTTTGCCGATGGTTAGACAAAACAACAAGTTCTATCACACGCAACTATCCACTCTTACCAATCTTACACTAATTTTGTGATTCAGTGTGAGAAAACACATGCTGATGAGAATCTAACAATCTTTGTCGATGGTGAGACCAAAACACCAGTGTCTATCACACGCAACAATCCTCTCTTCACCTTCTTCTCACTCAGTGTCTAATGATTCAGTAAGAAATACCACTTACTAATAAAGACTCGACACTCGGTGCCGATGGTTAGATAATTAAACCAATATCTATCACACGCACCAATCACGTTGCCAACCCTAAACAAGCAAGTTGTACCTTGAATTGACGATAAACTATCTTTCAGCATGTAACTTTCCATGATAGCAATCTCAGGACTTTCGCAGTCACTGATTTTCGTTTCCTCTTTGGTACGACTCTATTTACCCAACGACTATTTTTTTGATTTGATAGTCTGGCAAGATACGCAGTTATTTTCGCTAAAGATAATCATTACCTTTTACCGTTTCATTCCCTATTTAAAACTTTTCACCTCTTCCCCAAACCTTTTTACCTTCCTCCAATCTTCTCTCTCTCTTAAAAAAAACCCTAAAATCCTAAACTTCCTCAATGTCGGCATCACTGTTCACCTTCTCCTCCACTTCAAGAAGAGTCATCCCAGCTCTAAACTCTCCTCGTCTTCCCATATACATCAAAGCCACCAACGTAGTTTTCAACCCTGATATTCCAGATGTTCATCGAGGTCTTGGACTTGATGATTTTGTTAATTTCTTAGTCTCCTACCGACTCCGATACGCAATCAGTGACGTTCCATCAGAGTTCTTTCCCGAACAAGTATGTGAGTTCTACTACACTGCAACAATTAATGATGAAAACAACGTCATCTTCGGGACTATTGGCTGTGGAAGACACTCAGTCTTTATTAATGCTGACCTCCTCAGTGCTGCGCTCAGGTTACCAATCTTTGAACCCTTCTCTGAGCTTCCACTTATTGCACGCTGTCGATGTCTCTTTGATCAACTAGGATATGATCACTCAAAGGCTGGTACTCGATCAGCTCTCATTCTACGTCAATGTATGACTCCGGGATGGAAGTTCTTCACCGGTGCTCTGTGCAAATGTGTGGGTCACAAATCTCGTAGTGGTGATCATATGAGCCCTTATGAGCAACAAGTCGTTTGTTCCCTTCTTCTCAACAAAAGACTTGATTATGGGGCTTTCTTCTTTGATCAACTTGTTCTACTTCTTCATGCAAATGTACGCGCTGATCATGTCCCCTTTCCACGCTGGATTGCTCTTGTGCTAGATAAATTTTTCGCTGAAGCTCACTACTGACACTCTGGAAACCCCATCCAATGCCCACGCATGTCAGTACAAATGTATCAGGATGATCCGTTTGAAACTGACATCGGCATCTCTGATCGGATGAGAGAATGGATTGCAAATCCATATACTGTTCCTTCACTAACCGCTAATACTGATGAAGGAGCTGATGGTAATAACGAAGATCATGTTGATCAAGAAGCTGAATCACAGGATGGTGGTCAAATCTCCCCTCAACTTTCTCATCATACTCTCTCTGTCACTGAGAGAGTTCACTCAGCTCAAGGGGAGCGACTAATTCAGGAGGAGCAACCATCCCAGGGGGAACCACCATCTCAGGGGGAGCAACAATCCCAGGGGGAGAACCCATCCCAGGGGGACCAACCTTCTCCGGGGGAGCAACCTCACTCACAAGAAGTTCCAGGTACTTTATTCCTTTATATACCGGCCTCAGCATGTAATGAGCTTCTGACACTGACTTGGGACATGAGTCAGTGTCTTCTACGAATTGAGGCCGATGTCCATCAACTAAAGGGAGTTCTTTTGCCAACTCCTTCCCCTGGCCCACAACATGATGATGATCAAAAAGGGGGAGAAACTGATGATGATGATGATCCAAAAGAGAGAGACACTGAATCAGTTGAGCTCGGATCTGAGTTTAACATCTTAAGCCAGATTGAGCCACCATAACCTGTGCACGAGTCTGATAGACTAGTTACTGAGGAGCCTGATAGACTAGCAGATACTGGAAATCTTGTTGAAGATAGTGAGCATGATGATGAGTGTCAGATGCTGGACATGAACTTCATTGATCCCACTATTCCAGCTCAAGGAGATGCCTCAGAGGATAATGAAGATGAACATGGTGATGAATGTCAAATGCTAGATATGAAATTCATTGATCCCATTATGCCAGTCCAAGGAGAAGATTCAGATGTAGCTAGTGAGGATACTCAACCTCTATCTCGCAAGCGCAAGATAGGAGATACTGAATTGGCTTCTTCACACACTGATACTTATCCGCCTAGCAAGAAACCTAAGTCCATCGTCAGCATATCCAACTTCGCAGCTGAATGGAACATGTCTCCTGATCAAGTTAAGCAAATTCTTGATGAAGCCAATCAAGCTTAGCTTCTAAAGAATACTGCTCAAGCTGATGAATCTGTCATTCAGCATCAACTTCAGGCCAAAGGATCCTTTGAAGCTCAGATGCAGAAGTTCTTAGAATATCAGTCCAAATCCAAATCTTCCCAACCTCCTCCCAGTAGCAGCAAGTCAAGGTCTGAAAATATTCTAGACAGAATTGATCGAAAGAGGTTTCAAGATGTTCTTAAAAAATGAATGAGTAGTGATAAAATCATCAAAGTTAAAGCTTCTAAACCTCGTAATGAGAAAATTATTACATTGCTGATCACTCGTCAAGGTCCTCAACATCCATACACTGAAGTTGTCAAGAGGGATGAGCTGATCAGATACGAATATTTTGAATGGATGGAATTGCTCGAATTAGCATCCAAGCAAACTTCAACTCTCTCTTCAGAACTGACATGTGCTCTCCATCTACTGATCAAGAAAGTTCAGCGTTTGGATCTTGTTCCTATACAACACTCTCAACAACAGGCCAAAGTTCCTCAGTTCCTAGAATCCGAAGGACCAGATTTCAAGTTGATGGTGAAGATGTGTTGGTTCTAAATTTAGGTGCTAAAGGAATAAACAACTCTCTTCCTATCGGTGTTGAGCCGGTTCAACATAAGTTCATCTCCGTTCCTAAACATGGAATGTTTTATCTCGATAAAAACAGAAGAATGTGCTTTCAGCGCACCACAGAAATTCAAAGAGCTCCAACAGCACATCTTGTTGGCTTAAGAAAAATGTGCATGAGTCATCAAGATTTATTTGGAGAGTTTCACATACTGATTGATATGGAGCTGCTGAATAGAAGACAGGAGCTGTTGGATAGTCCTTACTGGCATGTGAAAGTAGAAGCTGAAGTTGAGTATGAAGAATTTTTGTCCAGAGATGTTCTCGTATAGCTGTTGTTTTGAACATCATCATATTGGGGGAGATTGTAAGGTTGAACCTTATAATATGATGATGTTTGAAACTGATCCATCAGCATTAGCGTCAGCATCATCATCAGTGTCAGCATAAAAGTTGTTCAGTATATATATTGTATTATATGTAATAGATTTAGTGTTTATCTTGTTTCCATAGTTATCATATATTAGTTAGCTGGAACATTCCTGATTTGTAGGGATTGTCTATAATAGTTCTATATAATCTTTTGTACGGGTTTGTGAAGGGGTTGTCTTTCATAAACCCTAATAGCCGCTTCCTATGAACAATAATCTCTTTGTGAGATTATCATTCTTAGTGAAAGCTCTTTGTGATATTTCGTTGTTCTATTCTTATTATTAGTCATTGTTTGATAAATCGATTGATCTAAGGTCCTTTCACAAGTACACACAACAATTTCCTCTAGACTAAATTAAGGATTTCACGTATTTATCAAACATATCTTGGATTTCCTATATTCGCCTTTTAGGATTCTTCTCATGCATATGCTTGATTTAATACATCCTAATACTTTTGCATAGGTCGATAGAAATTTTGGTTTCATTTCTTCATATAAATTCTTTCTCGAGTAGTGTCTACTCTACAAGACACACTATTCCAAAATTTACTCTAGCAGCATGGAAACAAACGGTCTTCTACTACCTGCATCATCTCTAACTCATGCAAACCATCATGCATATTTGTTCATTTCATTATTCTTCCTTGACATCGTTATTCTTGTATCTGAGTAAGTCTAAGTCTACTTCATAAGAGTCTATCCTAAGAAGTATGCATCTTAGCTGCATCTCAACAAGCTCTACTAGCTTCAACTTGGTTCTCTGTCATTCCTGACTACATCATCACTTCTCATACGATACTATGGGTGTAGTTCTTCTTCAATTAAGCATTCTACCTTACTTAAACAAGTAAGTTTCTTAACCATTTACCACTAAATGAATCAATTCACCATCTCAATCTTGTATGTTAAAGTCGCCTTAACACACAATGGAACTTCTATAAGGATGGGATAGAAGTCAATCATCACTTAGTATTATTAAATACTAAGTCTGAACATATTTTATAGGGTTACTACTCGAACTACATACTACATCACAAAGTCTTGGCCTATTGAGTATGAAAAGTTCATTAGCCTTTATTTTGATCTTCATTTAATTCTTCTAATCTTGTACCACATCAATTGAGATACTATCGAAGTATTGACCGCCATCTTCGGTTCTTTTGACTCTCTAAACAATCACTGCTTCAATCTGAACAACGGTAGAACAACTTCGTGGATTTGTACCAACACATTTATCTTGCCCAAACATGTTTCAAATGCACATCTTTCTTCTAAAGATGTTATTATATATCAAACATACTTTAAATGTATATTACCACTCTATTGGTATTTATATACTTGTTATGATAACAATTCATATTTATTATTTTACGATATCTCATGATCGTTTATTTATAAACTTATCGATGTCAACTATCATAAGTCTCTTTATCACTTTGAAAAATTCTATTATGAAAATTCTTAACATTTTCTAAACCAAGGTCGGCAACAGAACTTAATCTTTCTCAAATAATAACACATAATAGAATATAAGGCATATCTTCTCTCTATATTCATTTATCATTTAGCACATAACAAAATATAAGGCATATCTCCTCTTAATAGTCTAGTGCTTGCCTCCATTAGGTATTCAAATTAAAATATATCGTATCATCTTTACTTAATAATTCTTGTTTAAGTTTAGAAATTCTTAAAATTTCTAGTTCACTTAGACTAATTTTCTTAAAATTATGAAGTAACTTAATATCTTAGAATACTAGGGTTTATCACTACCCAATCCCCCACTTAAATATTTCCTATGGTTTGTATCCATATACTTATTATGAATCAGCTCATTTATTGAGCTTCCAATAGTTTAAGTCTAAATACCAATCCATGATATTTAGTTCACTTAAACCATTGCTCTGATACCATGATTGGAAGACCCCAACTTTCGCATTTATGAAAGACCCAAACTTTCATACTATTTCAGAAAAAAAAATTTCTTAAGTTACTTCCTTAAAACATGCTACATGGATATTTATAAAACAATATTGTATACTGATAAAGTGATTAAAAAAGATTGGATACAAACCGACTAAGTTTTATTACATTTCATGTCTACCCAGGAATCTACTATTCATATACATACATGAACATTAAAATACAGAGAAATAGTATTAACTATTTTAAATCTTTTAGCAGTATAAAACTATATTGGATACTCATCACCTGCAATTGTTAAACATTGAGAGGGATAAGCGATAATGCTTAGTGAATTCAATAAATAGATACAATATAATCTTATGCCTTATATATACCAATATGATAGAAGAAAAAGGGAACAAGAACAACAATAGCATATGCGTATCATATGTCAGGCTTTCAATATCAACTCAAGATTTGATTCAAAGATTTACTATCAAAGAGACATAACGATTTCAATACTTGATATGCATTAATGAAGTTTTGGCCCAAATGGCATAGAAGACATCTAATTTTTGATTAACATTTTGGTAGATTTCAGGCATATAGCCCTATCTAACCATTTGCCAATACCATAGAATAGAGTTCATTCTCTTACGAAGTCATGCTCTACATGGCCAGAGGCTACACACCATACTTATCTAACCTTCTACCAATGCCATAAAATAGAAGTCATTCTCTTACGAGACATGCTCTACATGGCCAGAGGCTACATACCAGTACCACCATGAATCTAAGTCCTTGCACTGATCACATGGTCAAAGGTATAACTTTGCTATTAAAAATAGCGAATAAAAATAACACTGGAAAATAACTCAGAATAATAACACTGAAAAGCACATAGCACATATAACAGATAACATACAATTGTTCCTATATATTGAACTCACCTTAAATTAACCAGGGGTTAAAA